TATTCTGAAGTTACGTTAACCACAAAGGACAATGTAAAAATACAAATTTTCGTATTGCAACAAGAAAACCATTGGAATGCGAAGGAGAGACCAACAATGTTGATTTGTCACGTCTGTATCAAGAAATGTATAGTTCTCTATTTCTATTATCGCTTTGATCACCAATTATTTAGTGAATTAAAACAAATTTTTAATTTCATCTTCTCATTTTAGGGTAACGCAGGGAATATGGTATAGCTCAAATATTTTTGTGATGTGCGTAGTTCACGGATTTATACTCGGGGGTTGATAAATTAATACTATTTGTCTTGGATCAAAGGGAGATTGTTTACCCATCGCTGAGCGATTCTACAAGAATTTCAAATGCAACGTTGTGATGTTGTCTTATAGGGGGTGAGGAAGCCTCTTCAATGGAAATTTGTGCAGTTTGGTTCCTCAATGAATTGCATGAATTCATCTTTCCTTAATAACACATAGATATGGCCTCAGTGAAGGTACTCCTTCAGAGAAGGGACTTCGAACAGATGCCCAAGTAAGAATCCGTTGTCTTGCGGTTTTGTGAATTTGATGGGATCAAGGTCTAAACTCATTCTGTCAACTTTTACCCCAAAGACGGTGTTGAACTATATCAGTGAACACGAGGTGCTAAAACATACAAAATTGGTGATTTATGGACAATCGCTTGGTGGTGCCGTTTCTATTGACCTGGTATCGAAAAACGAAGATAAGGTACCTCTTTCTTAAAAAAAAGTTCCCAATTTCACGCATCATCCTACTTTCGATTTATTATTTCCCTGTTCTACATGATCAGGTGGCAGGATTAATTGTTGAAAATACCTTCCTTAGCATAGTAAGTAGAATTTGCGCGTCAAATGTCTGCGCGTTTTCACCGTGAAAAGTTCAATTTTTTGATCCTTCCGTTAAACTCTAGCCAAAATTGTTACCACATGTGATTCCACAACTGCGGCACTTTTCATTTTTCTGCACACAAAAATGGGAATCTGATAAAGCCATGAAGCTAATTAAGCGAGTCCCAGTTTTGTTTCTTTGTGGAGCCATTGATGAACTCATACCTACTGAACACGTGATGCAGCTTTACGAAATGACGAATACCGAGGGCGGAAAGGAATTTCAATCATTTCCAAATGGTACTCACCAAGATACTGTTGCGCAGCCTGGATATTTTGATGTGATCGAAGAATTCTTATTAACCAAGGTTGTAGGTTGAAATTAATTCGTCGACGAACGCTGGATCGCCGGAGGTTGACATTGTCACCAAATATACAACATGACGATAAATGAATTTAATTATGTTGTTACTTGATATATTTATCAGTTGTTAGGCATTCCTTTTTTTTTATATCAGTGAAATCATCTGTATTTGTTGATGACCTTATCATGAATATATATTAAAAGTGAGAAAAAATATGCAAAGCTTATTTATCGTTTATGTAATGCGCTCATAAGTAGGGATTTAAGTCTGTTAAACAGTTTTTTCCATCGGTAATTGTCACATCATTATATTATGCAATTTATCACACTGCGTGATAAATGATACAATAAAAAGATGTAGCATTTACAGCACCAAGTAATTTGCGGGTTTACTATGTGATTTTACAAAATACAAGTCGTATGGTCAATAATTATCGGTTTTAAATTTTGAATAAGGAATCCCATAAGGTGATTAAAATGATGAATATTATTTTTCAATCTGCCAGTACATATGGGATTTGTATAATTCATGGATCACGAGTCTGTTTCATACTAGGATAAATTGTGGAATAAGTTATTGAGTATGGATTTATTTTTTTGATTCGATTACATGGCAAGTATGACATTCTTATTATGTTGATTCCATCATTTAACTCGAATGAGAAATCAAGAAAATATATGAGGATTTGAATTTTTACATCTGTAACTATATGCATATATAGTGTATTGCAAAATTTTTTGAAAATTTTTTATTTATTCATTATTCAAAAATTACTACACAAAAATTAATAAAAAATATAGAAATTTTATTGATTTATAATTTATAATTAATTCTTTCATTATTATTTTCAATTATTAATTCATATTTTTTTTTCATTAAATCTATAAGATTAATTATAATCTTACTTGGAATTTTTTTTCATTTTTCTATTATAAATTGTTTTAATTTTAAAAAATTTTGAGATAATCTTATTTTTATATTTCTTTTAGCAATAGATCAAAGGTTTTCAATAGGATTTAAATTTGAATTGTTAAAAGATTAATTTATAATTTTAAAAAAATTTTTATTTAATAATTTTTTAATAATTTTACTAATATACTTGAAATCATTATCCTGTTGAAAGTATCAATTATTTTTCAATTTCTTATTTATGTTTTTACAAAATATTAATATAAAATTTTATATTTATAATTTTGTTAAAATAAAAAAGAAAAAAATTTTTTCTTTTGAACAAAATCCTTTTTATATAAAAATTTTTATATAATTCTTAAATATTTTTCTAATTGACAAATCTGTGGATCTATAATACAATGGTTAATGCTTCACAGGTCAGATCACAAGATACCAATTCAACTTTAGATAAAGGCAGTTAAATAATATTAATATAGTATTTAGTACCATAACCTACTATATGTTATTTCTTATATGAAGCTAATTTACATATTGATTCAGCAGATGTTAAGATTATGACCTTCAAGAAAGATGTCATAGTGTAATAATCATCTGGTTGGTATTATGATAATCACCAGAAGCTGCCTCAAAGTGAATAAATTAAGTAAAGTTGGAATACTTGTTCAATTTTCTAATCAAGACTCCTTATACATTTGAATGTATAAACTGGGTTGTACTCATCCTAATCAATTCCAATTGATGATTTCTCATCTTCTACTAGCTATCAAATAAGAAAATCTTGAAACAAGTATTGAACTGACACTAATGTCTTATATGATATGACTTCCTGATGGCTTATCATGTATGTATATGCATACATTACATAAAGGTACCTCTACTATATTAGCTATATAAGTGAAAAGGCATAAATATAATAAGTAAACTTATAGAAATAGTTAATAGTTTATTGTTTCTATTCAAAATTAGACCAATAGGTTGGATGGTTTAAAACTAGTAATAAGATTTCCACTTTCTAAATAGGTTTTCTTAAAAACAACAAAACACATCCTAAGAATAAATAGTATATCATTAGATATAAAAATAGTTAGGCTAATATTTAGCTAAAGTTATAATATTATAAAGGATATTTGATATTATAAATATATATAATAAAAACCTATATTTAGTACTAGGGTTTCTAATGATATCACTTTAATATCACTTTAATATCAGTTTGATACTTAAATTTACTATAAAAACATATGAATAAGTTACAATCCATATATTAAATTTACTATAGATTGATATTATTTTGATACCAGTTTGATATCAATTCAATACTTTTCAGAGTTCTATTTAATGCCATTTTATTATAATATATATATATATATTTATAATTGGTTTTATACTTTTGTACTATTGTTAATTGTATTTTTAAATAGTTTGAAATGTTACTTTATTAGAAAATAAAATCTTTTCTAATTGTTATTTAAATATTTTCTTATTTAAGTTATATAAGCTTTTTTATAAGCATTAATAAATATAAATATCTTCAAAAATAAGCTATTTTTATAACTTATTTTTATTAGATGTCTTGAAATAATTAAATATAATACTTTAATATTAATATTTAATAATTTAATAATTAAAGTTCTTGTAGAAAGTCTTGAATTATAATTTAAATATTAATTAATTACTTTTTATATATAAGAAGTAACCTTTTTAAAACAACCTTTACTTAATTTTTTTGAATTATTATTTTTAAAATTTAATTTTTTAAGATTATAATAAATAATTGATATATTTATATTAGTTCTGGAATATATTTTATTTATAAAGTAATTTTATTATTTTATTTTATTTTATTTTTAATCCTGCAATCAGGTTAGTATCATATATTTATTAAATCATAGAGAAACATTATATACACGAGAATACATGCAAGGTACAAATTTTTTCAATCCAACTTACCTGTCTTTAGCTGAAATCTCTAGATGTAATTTATGGAGGTGATATATTGTTTCTCTAAAGGATGGAATTAAGATTCTGAACTTCCAATAGATCAGCATCTACAGATCACCTTCACAATAATAACTATAAATTCAAATTGTGTCACCCCCTCTTATAGAAACTATACAAGGAGAAAACGAAATAAAAAAAAAGAATTTTTTGACAAAGAGAAAAGA